TATATATACATATATATATACATATATACATATACATATATATAAATATATATCATATATATTATATATAATAAATAATATAATATATATTATATAATAAATAATATATATGTGGCTGATTTTATATTTGGTAAATTACCCCGAAGTTCAAAAAAGGTAACTTGAAGATTTTTATCAGTGATTATGATCAATAGGAAGTTTTCGCTTACGAAAATATCGAATACGATACGGTACGTTAGCTAATTTTTAGACAACCCTTCCCCTACAGTAGAATATCTGTCGCCAACGTCGTAGGCGATTCATGCCTTTTGAATGAATTATGGATCATTCAGCTCGTAGGCCTACAAGAGTTGTCAAGAATGTTTTAGGCAAGAATAATGACAATGATAATGAGTTATTCATATTCATTTTCGTAAGGTGTTTAATCATCCTATTATTTGTTTAATTTGTATCGAGGACCATATTGGATGCGCAATTGCACTTATTTACTTGTTGAAAATGTTTTCTACAAAGGGTTAGCAAAACGTGATTAGAACGTTAATGTTGTAGTAACTGAATAAAAATCACAACATGTTATTATCTTCTCTTTAGTGCATAAAAATAATTAATAACAACAGGACGGGATGTAGACCAATATTTGACTAATATGCGTGTTAATGTTTTGTTTAAATATAGGTGCAAAAAAAAATAGACGACTTTCTAGGTCGGGAAAAGAAACCTGCATGGGGTAATTGTCAGTCGATGCCATACCTTGCAGCCACAATAATGGAGGTACAGCGAATTGGCAACATCGTTTCAGCATTCACACGATACGCCACAGAAGAGGTTGAAATAAACGGCTACAATATCCGCGCTGGTATTACGGTATTAGCAAACATATGGAGCGTTCACTATGATCCCAATCATTGGGAAAGACCGTTTGAGTTTGAGCCAGGGAGGTTTTTAGAAGACGACCTCAAGACGTTAAAGAAGCAGGAGACGTTTATTCCTTTTGGCGCAGGTATGTATTTATTATGCTATGGCACTGCGCATGGCGCCGTATTTATGCAAATTGAAAACTAACTGAAGCACAAAGACTTCAGTGCCTCCGCTAAATCCGCCCCTGGCCAGAAAAAAAACTTGGAATGAAATAGTGGATCAAATACTTTACTTTCATTTGGGTCTTTCAGTTCTAATATGATTTTCTTTCAGGTCGAAGAATGTTTTAGCCAGAATGAACCCTTTTTCTTTTCACTGCTAATCTCCTGCAACGGTTCACTTTCGTGGTACCCGATTGTAGCCCCACCCCATCAACGAATGAGTGTGTGCCAGGAATAAATAGAGTTCCTAAACTGTACGAAATATACGTCATCAAACGATAGCAGTCTGTTGGACGTCTGCTTGACAGTGGTTGAAATGTGTGACATAAATATCACCATGTTATAAATACCGAAACAGTATTGGGTTTGCTGTTTGAGTTATTGTCTAAGCATGATGACGTCATTATAACATGAAAAAACACCAATAAAGTGCATTACTAGATCCGGTTAAATGAGCTTTTAAAACACCAAAACTAATGTCATTTTATTGCGTAAAGTGATATCCATCGGCACTGACTTCCGTAAACGTGCAAATATTATAAATTTGCGAAAGATGGGTTATTTTCCATTAAATTCTTGTTTTGCGTGCGGGATGCCGTCCTGATTTCCGGGACACTCCCACAACTTAAAGGAGACTTGGGACGGTTCATTTTTTCCGACAAGGGAACTGTGAATTTACATTATTATTGTAATTTAAATGTTACTTGGTGACAACTGTGGATTTGGAGTGGACATGTAGCTTGGTGGTTAAGATGCCGAGTTCTTCAAATTCCGAGATCCTTGGTTCAAATCCTGTGACTGCACATAATTTTTTTTTCTCACGACTAAAGCACACGTTACCATAAGCCTCGCAATGAAGCCTCGAAAAAACATCACGTTATTTTATTTCGAGGGCCCCTGGATGTCAGCCGACATTTTGGTAGTGAAAACATTAAGCGTAAGCATACGATTTTTGAATATGTGCTGACCTTGTTAAATTTAAAAACGATATGTTTAAAAAGACAGCTGTGGATTTACGACTAAACCACACATTACCATAAGCTAAGCCTCGCAATGAGACCTCGATAAAACATCACGTTATTTTATTTAGGAGTACCCCTGAATCAGCCGACTTTAAATATAAATATAAATATGGAAAACATTAATCGTAAGCTTATCTATTTTTTTTTTATGTGCTGACCTTGTTAAATTTAAAAACGATATGTTTAAAAAGACAGCTGTGGATATTGAAAGTGTATTGTTTCATGCTTGGTTAACTACCCGTCATTTTCGAATCCAGTCAATTACACAATTACAAGAACATTGGTACGAAATTGGTAGAGGTCAACCTGATTTATAGCACAGTAGCAGAATGGTGTTCTACGAGGAGATATTGTCTTTAGCCAATATTCCAACGATAATTTTGTTGTCCATTTTATTTCTTTTTTCATTAAGACTTCTCAAGTCTAACAAGCTACCACCAGGCCCTTTTGGCTGGCCGATCGTCGGATCTATCCCGCACATCGACAAGGAGTCGTATTTGACTTTTGACAAATGGGCAAAAGAATATGGCGACATATACACAGTGAAGTTAGGCTGGACCACAGCCGTGATTTTGAATAGCTTTGACGCTATAAAAAGTACACTGAAAGATCAAGGAGATAAGTTTATTGACAGACCACGTTTACCTATCATAGAATTGGGTTTTACAAAAGGTAAGAATATTCGGTGGCGGGCCACCCATGGAGCTGCATTCACCTCTGACCCAAACCGAAATTATGTTCCTATCCTTACAGGGGTGGAGCCAGCGGGGGGTCGGGGAGAGCTGTCCCCCCCCCCCCGGTCGGGAGAAAAAGCACAATTCGTCGGGGAGAAAAAAAATTGTTATTTTATCTTATTTTCACATATTAGTAGACTCTAAAATCGATCAAAAAAGTCTTTGAAACCCCTAAAATTTTCGGGGGTTTCGCACCCCTGGACCACTTTCGTAACCTTTTAAACGAAGCCCGACCACGCCCATTTTCTTTTCGTCGGGGAAATCTGACCCCTCGTCGGAGGCATCAGTCCCCGCGTCGTGGACCTCGGCCCCCTTCCCATCGGGCAAATCTTGGCGCCACCCCTGTATCCTTAAATTACTGCTCCGATTTTCTGATCGGATCGGTTCGGTTCGGTTCGATATGCTTTCCGATCCGAAAATTCGGATTCAATGTTAATTATTATAATATGGAGTATTTGGCTGACAGTTACTGAAGGGTTTGGTTGGTTTCTATTTACAGTACACTAATACAGTAATAAATAATCGAAAAAAATGGTCATAATGTAATGGATCAAAACATCAATGGAACAAAATGTAGGATAGGTAACAAACATATTTCATTGAAATAAATTACATGAATCCAAAAACTGGGTAACATAAAAACTAATATTATCTTGTCTTTTTTTCTTCATCTCCCACCTGAGAACATTTGGATAATATTGGTATTTAGTATATTGGTATTGATATGTGTATTAGTCAAATAGTTTGAATATCATTTATTTTTTACATTTAGTCTTCTTAAAGCGCTTCGACGATTCTCTTACTTATAGGAGGTGTTGTTTTCGAAAATGGACCTGCCTGGAGTGAACGACGGCGTTGGATGTTTTGCGTTCTACGTAATTTCGGTCTTGGAAAGAAAAGCTTAGAAAGTCGGATAAATCTTGAAGCAGATTACTTATGTAAAGAAATTAATAAAAACTGTAATTCATTTAACCCATTACATATTGTAAATAATGCGGTGTCTAATATTATCTCTTCTATCAGCTTTGGTGATAGATTCGAATACAGTGATCCGAAATTTAAAGAACTTTTGGATACGAATCGATATTTGCTAAAACATTCCACTTTTGTGGCCCCTGTAAACGCCATTCCTGTATTGTTCTACACACCAATGTATAATCGCTTTCGTGAAGTTACATCATCCTTAATAGCATTTATTAATGATAGTATTCAACAACATCAAGAGACTTTCGACGCCGGCAATATTCGTGACATCATTGATTCGTGCCTTGCGGAATTGGAGAAGGAGCATGTTGACTCGAAGCTGTTCGCAAAAGATACCTTATGGCGGACTCTCTTTGATCTGTTCATTGCTGGATCAGAAACGACTGCTACTACTATTATGTGGACGATTCTGTATTTGGTAAAGTACCCGGAAGTTCAAGAAAAGGTATTACTGTACACGGAAATGTTGTTATAAAATTTCAATAAAGTTAGGACTTAAGACGGTATAAATGATTTGATAAGGTTATGGTTGTTATAGGCCTACTGATAACAAATCATGTCGTATGTCTTTTTATAACAAAATAATTCAGATTCATGAACAATTAGGAAACAGGTACGACTACTGAGTCAGTGATAGTTTATAGAGAAATGAGGCCTCTATAGGGGGATTAGGCGCCATGGTGTGAAACTTTCGTGGTTTTTGTGATCATGTTTCGTTTCCACAAAAAATGAACAAAACAGGGGTGCAAAAATAGCTCTTTAATATCTTGTATGACATTTGTGAAAATGTTCAAATATGTGGTAAATAGGCCTATATATTATCAACATAACTGGACTTTATCTTGTCTATTTTTTCAATACGGTATTAAGTTACAACAAGAGGTGGACGAAGTTCTAGGTCAGGAAAAGAAACCGACATGGGGCGCTCGGCAGTCGTTGCCATATCTAGAGGCTACAATAATGGAGGTACAGCGGCTTAGCAATGTTGCCCCCCTACTTGCACGATCTACCAGTGAAGAGGTTGAAATAAACGGTTACAAGCTCCCACCTGGCTTAACTATATTAGCAAACTTATGGAACGTCCACCATGATCCTAACCAATGGGAAAGGCCTTTTAACTTTGAACCAGAGCGATTTTTAACAGACGACAAAAGGACTATAAGGAAGCCAAATGTGTTTATTCCTTTTGGTGCGGGTATGTATTCAATTATGAGTCTCCTGACTAAGTTCCATTAACTTTCATTGTTTTGTCGTTTTAATCTTGTTTAGAATCTTTCTTTTTTTTTCATGCCAAATTTTTCTGGTTTCCTCCAGGTCGAAGGATGTGTATTGGTGAGCTTTTGTCTAAAATGGAAATTTTCCTTTTCACTGCTAACCTTATTCAACGGTTTACGTTCGAAGTTCCCGATGATAAGACAACTCCTTCGGTAAATGAGTGTGTACCTGGTTTAACCCGGTCTCCTAAGCCATATGAAATATACGCTATCAAACGATGATATATTTTCAGACACTTGCAATTGTGTGCCTTGAGCATATAACAAAAACCCTGTCATGTTATATTATATTGTTTTATATTATTATATTATTATTATATTATTATTATGTTACGTATTATATTAGTGATCGTTGACTGTTCATGTTAAGCAGATTATTATTGTGCACCACATGTTATAATGATAATTGGTATTAAACATAATAATGAAATCAATTAACGTTATGAAGTATAAAATATATATTTATATTACGAATTATAAATTGTGTAAATTGTTTAGATGTGTTGACATTTTTTTTAAGTGACTTATGGTGTTGTCAGAGTACTTCTGCGCTGTTTGTCAGCCCCTCGTCGGGGCAGATCCTCCCCTCGTCCCGGACCACTGACCCCCCGTCGGGGGAAATCCTGATGCTACCTCTGCTGTTTGCTAGGGTGGAATTATGCATAGAATATAGATCGTTCAGTCAGAATGGAGAGGAATAATAAGAGATATAGGCCTGTAACAAAAAAATTAGGTATTGTGTGGCGGTGCAAAGACTGTAAAGCGGTAGAGACAAAAGAAAGTTTAGATTGAAGAGGACGAGATTAGTAATACAGTAATCGTGAACGGTTTGTATCTTATATGAAGTATAGTCAAAACAAATAAAGTATATTTTGTGACAGAAAACGTAAAATCTATCATTGTAGTGTCTTTTGTGTTAATTATTGTTATGGTAGTACCGGAACATAGTAAATCCTTTCTGAGACACTAGGGCTCATGGGTCTGGAGCTTATCCCAAGTTTCTGTAGCGTGAAGCAGATCAGAGTGCGATGCTTATCCCCGTGGTGGGACGCTGGTCCACCACAATACTCCCAGCAACTTGCTTGTACCCATTGATACTGGGTTGACTAAAGCAATGTAGATACAAGTGCCTCCTACTGCGCCACACTACTGCCATATGGTACCTATATATATGCCAATCAGCTGATCGATTCCCGCAGAGCTTATATCTTTCATTTATCCACCTACGATGACACGCATTCATTAGCGATTACACGAAAATTCATAATGAGTTTAAAACTCTCTGTGCCACCTCTAAAGGCTGGCACTCGGCGTCGTACGAGGGTTGTACAACCGTTCAAACTCCTCTCCCTTTGAGCGCTAGACGACGCGATGCCGTCTGCTGATTTCGGAGGCACTCTAAATGGATCGTCATTAAAATTAAAAACGACCTGTTGCGCGTGCGTTGTAGCGTTGCGTTCTTCATAGAATCGCGTCGGCCGACGACCTGAGAAAAGCCCGTTTTCTTTCGTATTAATTTTAAAGTTGTCACTTTTCGCAGGCGCCCACCTCCCCTAACCGACCGTGGCCACTTGTGAGCTTAAAACCATGGAGTTTTTTGGTTGGTTTAGGTGTCGGTCTGAATTTTCTTATAGATTACCTGTTGCAATAATTTTTTAACTTAATTGTAAATAAAATGTCTTTTAAATTTTAATTACTGTAATTAACGAATTATTTATTTTTGTACTTGAATTTTTAACTTAATGTTGCCTAATTAATTGTAATGCTTTATTGTAGATTATTTATGTGTTTAGTGGGTTTGTGATTGCAATAAAGTTCTTCGTATTTCGTATTTCGTATTTATTGTGGTATTTTACGTACATCTGGTAAGCGACAATCCCGGATTTACAAAATGATTCTTTTTCGAGTCACCCCCTCCCAACACCTAAAAGAGTACCGTACATATTAAAATGATAATTCTTGTAATTTTAAGATCATAGTTTTTTTTTCATAAATGAATACACATTGGCCTCTCCTTATCTCGTAAAAATGATAAAAACTGGAAGACATTAATTCAAATCTGTCTTAATTTACAGGAAGTGCCGGGATTTTGAAAATGGCCATAGCTGGATTAACGACGGCGGTTGGGTTTTTGAAGTTCTCGTAACTTGGGTTTTGGAAAGAAAAGTTTAGAAAGTTTTTTGAGGGGTTCAAATTCATAAATAAGAGTTCCATCTTGAAACGTGTATTAAAAGTTGCTACTGTCTATAAAGATTATTTGAACAGGATTGTTCAAAGTTCGAGGTTTAAGCAATCTTCTTTCGAGATTTTTTTTTTTGCCATCCAAGCGGAGCCAGCTAGCAAACGGCGGGGTTCCCCACCCCCCCCCCCCCCCATTTTAGAACTAGTACGCGTATGCCATCGACTACAATTATTTACAACTTCCTTCCTTGTTAGATACTTGCTATTTTCGGCTATTTCATTTTCATTATTTCTATATAATCACCTGTGTACCACCAAAACATTCCAGATCTGAAATATCTACAAAGAGCTTTCATTTATTATTATTATTATTATTATTATTATTATTATTATTATTATTATTATTATTATTATTATTATTATTATTATTATTATTATTATTATTATTATTATTATTATTATTATTATTATTTCCTCTATTATTATTATTATTATTATTATTATTATTATTATTATTATTATTATTTCCTCCATAAAAATATGTAAGTATATACACAGGGACATACAATAAAATCGTCAATGCAAGATTAAAACAGGAAAATTGAAAGAAAAAGAAAATCCATTGAAACAAAGAGTATACAGAATTGCTGGTGAGTGAGGAGGCGGGCATACCAAAAGGAACATAGTTTCTGTATAATAAATGTTTGGAATCCACAAGCATTAATCAGTAAAACGTATACCGTAGTCATACAAGAAAAGATTCCTGATGGCCAACATCAAATACGTAGTTACGGTACTTATTTGCAAGGAGACATTTAGAGGGCAGTAGACACAAATCAGGGAGGTGCTACTTTTGTCGACTGATGTCGATTTCACAATTAATAGATGGTCGTTAAACGTGTAGTTATAGGGTACTTGAATTATTCATATTTTCCTACTTAATTATCTGGTATTATCTGAGATTTTGTATCAATGCGTATAGGCATATATTTAAAGTGGTTTCTAACGATTTAATTGGCACAAAGAGCTTTAATCTTCAACCAATGTCATTGACCAACAGTGCCCTCTACACCAGTTTGTTTATTTTATTAGAGTACACTGTATAGTAATCCAAACAACACGCAATATTTTAAAAGTAGTTTTAGTATTTTATAAACGTGTTTTCTTTTTTTTTTTTGTACTGCGAGTCTAGGCCTAATATTTTAAATGATCAGTGACAAAATAAGTATTGGCAGACCCAATCATCTACAATAATGTATACACCATGCAAAACATGTTCCGCATTCAGCCATTAGCAGTCATGAGCAGCCAAACACAAAAGTAACATTTTCTAACAAAAAGTTGCCTATAATCTATTCTTTTCAGTTTGTTTCTCGAGTGACGTTTTAGGACAAAGGTCACTTGTACCAGAGTTAATCTGTAACAAGTACAGTACTCCATCCTTCGATTAAACTGTTTCTACGGGATATCCGGTAAATAAACAAGGCACCTTGAATCTAAACGCCCTGCAAAAGCACATCGCTGGTATTGGTTACGTCAAAATCCGGGCCCATCCTATATAATTAGCGCTATTTTAATACAAAGAAAGATTCTAGATTTTCTTATTGATATACTTATATACTAAATGCATTGATATAATTCATCTGTGGAAAATAGTAACAAGTTACATAATTAGATAAAATACGAGTTGCATGCTATCAACATATTATCCTAAGTATTTGAGATGGATTTTTTTTTTTTTTACAAGATGTTAATTATGGTGCCGATTATTCATGAAATATACAATGCAATTTAAACCAAACCTGAAGAAACGAAAAAGCGCGTAAGATAGGTCCTTAATAATATAATATGGTCGTTCGCAAGCAGTGTGCGAAAGAAACCAATTATTCGGTACCAGTACTGTAACTTGACCGTATTTTAACATTCATTCATGCTTGACAGGTATTAAATCAGGAAGGAGTCCGGATAAATTGACAGCTATAACAATGTAGGAACTCATAAGTACAGGATACTAGTGGAACTTACCAAAACATAGGCCTACAAAATGTTATTCTTCGATGCGATACCGACAACAGTCGATATCCAAACAATTGTTTTGTTTTTCCTAGTATTGCTATTATCATTAAGACTTCTCAAGTCTAACAAGCTACCACCAGGTCCTCGTGGATGGCCGATCATCGGTTCTATCCCGCACATCGACAAGGAATCGTATTTGACTTTCGACAAATGGGCTAAAGAGTATGGAGACATATACACTGTGAAGTTAGGCTGGTCTACAGCTGTGATGATAAGTAGCTATGATGCTATAAAAAGTACGTTGAAAGATCAAGGAGACAAGTTTGCAGACAGACCTCTTTTACCTATTGTAGAATTAGGCATCACGATACCAGGTAAGACTCGATAACATGAGATTTAAGGTCTATTCTTGTAGGTGAAGCCGACTTCCTAAGGACTCCAAAAGTGTTGAAGTATTGTTTACTGAGTTCGGTTTGTTTCGCTGCGTCCGTATTAGACTGTGCTGTGTAATGGTATCTGTAACCTTCTTACTTCACAATAAAAAGATAATGATAGTAATTAGATCTAAATAAATAAAACAATGGGATTACAATGTCAATATAAAAACGTAGGATGACACCTCCACCAAGAATAATAACATAATATTAAATATGATATACATATCAAACATATCCACCTATTGTGGATATTATTTGTTGGGGTTTTTTAATTTTGTGTCTAGATTAAAACAAAAAACTTTATTGGCTTTGAATAATCGGGATCGATATTTGTGGTACTTTTGTTATTTTATTGACTTTTTAAATTAAAGTTAAGGTCGAGTTAGAACTATACATGCATGCATAGGCCTTGGTGAATCTGCAACAATCGTTTCGGAACAATAGTCATTGGTTAGTCGTTATCAAACTGCTATTAAATGTCAACCACCCGTTAGCCTTCATAATGGAATTGTTTTCTATCGCAAGTTCAGTGGGTTGAAGATCTTGTATTTGTCTAATTCTGTTGGATTGGTAGTTGTACTGTCCTGCTGAGTAGCATTACGGATACTGCGCCTAAATCTAAATATAAATTTTCAAGTTGAATTGTTAGAAATACCACAACTATATCTTCACCACTATTTCCTCATTTTAAAATTGATTCACTCATCATTTTTACGGGTTATTTAAGACAATTGATATTTTTGTAAGAGTAACTTTTAGAGTCACTATTTTTCATTGACATTTCGTGCAAAATTCTGAAGTCTTAGTAATAGTAATGTGTAGTGTATATAGCGCATTTCTCAATAATTGTTATTCTCATGGCGCTTATAGAAATATTTTAACCAGGAAATAGCCAAAAAATAACTAGAAACCAAATAGCGAAAATAAACAAACATAATCTTGTAATACATAAATACACCGTCTCACCAAAATAACAATAAGAACCCAATTTTAGCTATACACTATAAACTTTGTTCAACATCATAAAAATTCACTGCCAGTAACCAGGTTCATCCAACGCATGATGACCCCTCGATAGGAGACGGACGACTTGATAGATTGTAATACGAACACCTTTTTATCTATAATTTAAAATAGTTATATTTTTATAAACAAAAAGTTCATCCTTCATCACATAAACGATATATTCGATACGGTATTTCGAAAAAAAAAATCATTCATTGGCAGCCGAAGATGAATTTCAGAAATAATTTAAGAAGCTTTATTTTACAACACCAATTTACACGAAAACAAATCATTACAGGTGACAGATGATCCGACGAAACTAACATTAAACCAATTAAAGAAAGGACCGCCTGATTGCACTACTTAGGTTATTTATTGTATCGCGTTTTTGTTATATTTCCTATAATTGTTTTGAATGCATGAATAACTACCAAATACTTTGTAGCCATTTATTTTCGCGATTTTACAATTTGAAATATTTAGCCTCATTTATTTTCGCTCACGATTTTTGAGAGTTTCAGTCTACTCTTATGTAATAATTAGCCTTAAATGAAATGATTGCCTTAAAGGATATGATTGCAGCCGACTTTCTACTGAAATATTATTACAAAAAAAATATAGTTAACCTTAGATTTAAAAAACTTAATTACCAGTCATCATTATAAGTAATGTGAATTACGTAATGGCACACTGATCGATGAAACGCAAACATTTAGTACCGGTATCAGGTAAAATTATTCGTGGTTCTCAACCTGGGGTCCACCAATATAAATAAAATGGAGGTCCACCAAGCCAAGGCAAGGACGTAGCCATGATTTTGAAAGGGGGGGGGGGGAGGAGCCGTTATGCGAATTACGTAGGACCCCGGCGGAGTCCAGGGGGCGAATACCCTGCGAAGTAGCGCACTCTGAACGTTCTTAGGACTGTTTGAGAGGATAAAGTGAAAATTGCAATAGACGCATTATAAATAAGCGCAACAATAATTATATAATAAATCAACACTGGCAGATCCAAGAATTCGAAAGAGAGGTGAACCAGGGAGGGACTTTCACAGACCGAGGAACCACCCACCTCTGATTAGGGCAAGGAGGTGTAAAAATAAATTAGGGCATCTCTAGATGGCCGGAAATTACACTCTCACACTTAATTTGAATATATTTTTCCCTTAAAAAATGAAGGAGGGGGGGGGGGCTTGAATCCATTTCTGCTCAAAACATTCTTTATCCAAAATAGTCATAATCACGAACAATGAAAACCAGATAATCCCGACATGAAAAACCAGATCACATTCTAAAAAAAAATGTATGGACCCTCGCCTCAGTACCGGTAGTTACAAAGTCATACTGTTCTATTTTCTCTATGGTCATACATCAGGAGCCGACTCGATGGAGTTTAATGTAATACCCAGGGAAGGGCACAGATCTGTTTTGAATGGTGGAGTGGGGTGGGGGACATTTTTTGTCGACACTCACCTCAGACCCACCATGGTTGGAGCTGAGGTGAGAAAATTGGAGGAAATAGGCCTAGTACCTCTAGATGGCCAGAAATAAAACTTTTTATATGCATCATCATCATCACATCACCATTAGTCAAAATGAAGCGCAAAAAAAAATAAAAATAAAACATTCTCATGATCTTTTATCAGGGATTTTTGACAACCATACAGATCTTATTAATGTGTGTGTGATATACCATAGAAAACAAAGCTTAAAAACATTGTCTTTGAGTATGTACTTTACATAGGCCTACTTCAAAAACGTGATTTCACAACCACCTCAGCCCCACCATTGTTGGGGCTTAGGTGAGAATATTTGAGGAAATAGTACCGGTACCTCTAGTTGGCCAGAAATGACACTTTAATATAGTAAAATTCATCATCATTACATTACCATTATATAGTCAAAATGAAACGCAACAAATTTCTCATGATCTTGTATCAGGGATCTACTTAATATCCAGGACAACTTAGGCCTAACTATAGCTTACTAAGCTTTAGGGCCTACTATAATTATGATCAACAAATCACAACTTTGTTTTGCATTTAGCACACTATCTTCACTTTTTATTGCTATATATAATATTATCAATTACTACTTTCGTCATCAACATCATCATCATCATCATCATCATCATCATTGTTATTATATTATTACTATTAATAGTAGTATTATTAAACAAAACTTTAAAGAAACTTGCAAAAGGATAAAAACGAAACTGAACCATACAGTATCGCATTTCTATCTTAAAAGACCTGGCCTGAGATTTATGGATTTAAGATTTTTTTAAATCACGCTTGGGCCTATGTGTTCTTTTAGGCCTATGTATAACGTGTACTGATGCATATTTACACGTTTTAGAAGTATTCATTTTGAGTGATCCCAGGAAAGAATGTGTATTGGCTCAAGAACAAGCTTTAAAATTTTAACACTGTGTACAAAGGGGGGGGGGGGCTGGATACGTCCCTGAGCCAAAGTGGTCCGCAGGGGGTCCGCGAGAAATTTGGGAGTCCGCTAGATTATTAGAACAACTTTTCAACATTTCATTATTTGTTCTTGTCTTACAATCGTGTGATCATGCCTTGACAATAATTAAATACCTTTGACAGGCATAACCAACAAATACTACTGACTTAGAACTGGTTTTAATACAACCATTGAAACTCCATTTATTGGTAGAGAACAAATGTTCGTCTTTAATCCTCTTCTCAGAGGTGTAACTAGCGGTTTTGGCGCCTGGTGAAAGAATAGAAATGGCGCACCTTTCCGCTCCAAGATTCTGTTATGAGTTTTAAGTTCCAGGTTCATAAATTTGGCGCTCCTCAGTTTGGTACTCCGGTACGTGCCCTGCTCTGCACCCTTGTAGTTACGCCTATGTCTCTATCTACCTAAGTAATAATAATAATAATAATAATAGTAATAATAGTAATAATAATAATAATAATAATAATAATAATAATAATAATAATAATAATAATAATAATAATAGTAATAGTAGTAATAGTAGTAATAGTAATAGTAGTAATAGTAGTAATAGTAGTAATAGTAATAGTAGTAGTAGTAATAGTAATAGTAGGAATAGTAATAGTAGTAATAATAATAGTAATAATAATAATAATAATGATCATGATAATAATGATAATGATAATGATAATGATAATGATGATAATGATAATGATAATGATAATGATAATGATAATAATAATAATAATAATAATAATAATAATAATAATAATAATAATAATTATAATAATAATAATTTATAAAGCGCACATCTCCACCAAAGGTGCTCAAGGCGCATAGACAATTAAACCAACAAGATCCAAATAATTCCCAGACGAATTTTCAGCAAAATCCGAATACCAATTATCCCATCGAGGCAATGTTGCTCCCCATATAAGTATACGCAGATACCCAAAGGCAGTATGTTGAGCATCAGCACCTTCCACCCCAGGATAAGCCCGGGCTCCACTACCGTCCACTGCAACAGGAGCTGCATTGCGTCGACAGAGAAAAGTGGTATCATATGTGTTTATTTTTTTTTATTTTTTTTTTTTTAATTTTTTTTTTTGTGAGTAATATAAGTGATCAGTTTCGGTGACAAATATAATGCTGATCACTTCTATACTGGTGACAGCACCAGTCATCAATTATCTGATCAGAATTCCATAATCACGTTTCGTGACTGCATCATAAATGATGATGTCACAAAACTGATACTTGTCAGATCTATTAGGTAGAATCGAGTGGTTTATGAACCATCTGTGTGTTAAATGATACCTCGTTTATTTCACGTCAGTGCTAGTTTAAACATTTCTTTTAAAAAGATTGGTTTTAAAACATATTTTCCGTTTTTGTAAGTCGAAACTCTCTTCAATTTACAGGAAGTCTGGTTTTCGATAATGGCCAAGCCTGGAATGATCGACGGCGCTGGACCAATGGAGTTCTACGTAACTTTGGTCTTGGGAAGAAAAGCTTAGAAAGTCGGATAAATATTGAAGCAGATTACTTATGTCAAGAAATTGATAAGAACAGTGGTTCATTCAATCCATTACACTGTGTGAATAATGCAGTGTCCAATATCATCTGCTCTATCAGCTTCGGCGATAGATTCGAGTACAGTGATCCCGAATTTAAAGAACTTTTAGAGGGGCTGGGTTACTTGCACACACGCACTACTTTCGTGGCCCCAGTAAACGCCATTCCTTTGCTGTTTTACACACCAATGTATAGTCGATATCGTGATGTTGTAACATTTATGAAAGCCTTCATTAAAGACATTATACATCAACATCATGAGACGTTTGATTCTGGTGATATTCGTGACGTCATTGACGCATACATTGCGGAATCTGAGAAGGAGCATTTTGATCCAGGTTTGTTTTCAGAGGGTTTACTATGGCGAATAGTTTTAGATCTGTTCGGTGCTGGAACAGAAACTACAACTACTACTATTTTGTGGATGATTCTGTATTTGGTAAACTACCCGGATGTTCAAAATAAGGTAGGCCTAATTACCGTAGCCATTTTCACAACCAATATACAGAGCTTGTTGACAACCATGAATGTATAAAATAAAAACTGATAATTTCGATTCAACGCTACTAAACGCAAGCCGGGTGGTCTAGTGGCTATGACACCTAGGCAGAATAACTTATACAGAATGAGAAATACCAACAACTACAAAATACATTGAACATTAACAAATATGAACGAGCAGGCCAACAAAAACAGTTAACACAAAGAACGGAGATATATAATTACTGTAATTTTAGAAAATATTTTAAAGAAAAGTAAATAACGAAGAAGAAAATTTAATACTAATTAACGTTTAAAAAAGTTTATCTTTATTTTGAAATTACTGAATGACGGGAATTCTAGAATTTTTGCTCCTGTGATTTTCAATGAACCATTCGTTTACGGAGCTTTCGATTGCACGACGACGGTAGGACGTAGAACTTAATGACGTCACTAAAAGTCATCTGTTAAGTTATCATCGCGTGGATTCTAGGACGTAATTTGGTCAAATAGCGACGTATGCTGAGAACGTAGGACGCCCGGTAAGACGGTCACGCGTGTATGATTCCGTTAGCGTCACGTCGTCGCGCAAATCGAACGCTATCAATGAATCTGTCAACAAGATTACCTAACATAGTTATAAAAAATGAAATTGTTATATGTGATTATAGACCTATATGTTCTTGTTTTTTTTAATAAAGTTACAACAAGAGATCGACGAAATTCTAGGTCAGGAGAAGCGACCGGCTTGGGACGATCGTCATTCAATGCCTTACTTAGAGGCTACAATAATGGAGGTACAGCGGCTTAGCAACGTTATCCCGATTACGTTACGATCTACTACCGAAGACATTGAAATAAACGGCTACAAGATTCCTTCTGGTTTTACAATATTCGTAAACCTATGGAGCGTACACCATGACCCTGACCACTGGGAAAGACCTTTCAACTTCGAACCGGAACGGTTTTTAATGGACGACTTAAAAACTTTTAGGAAGAAACAGGCTTTTATTCCGTTTGGCACAGGTATGTATGTACAACGCCAACATTAAATAATGACTAATAATATCACTCGCCTCAACTTCCACATAATGAACCTCTCTGAATTGTCAATCAATCTTAACAACTGACCAATCAGTATACAGGGTCAGTAATACGCAAATGTTCTACAATACATATACTTTTAGGTTTACGGTGTTTTTTATGGGACCTTGGAAAGACTATCCAAAGAACATTCTACTTTTACTTGAAGAAGCAGCAATCCTCATTTTATTGTTATAAATGTGTTTAAGAACTGCATTACGATCCAGGAAATATGAGTTTGATTAGAATTATTATAATAACTGTATGCATGTATCATAATTACGATTTTCTTTCAGGTCGAAGAGGATGTATTGGTGAGCTTCTGGCTAGAATGGAACTTTTTCTATTCACTGCCAACCTCATTCAGCGGTTCACATTTAAGGTTCCGGATGGTAAACCGACTCCGTCGTTAAATGAGTGTGTACCTGGTTTAACCCGGTCACCTAAGCCATACGAAATATACGTTATTAAACGATGAATGATTCATAGACTGGTTTCATTTCCAGATTTACGATAGAATATGCATGTATATTATGTAACAGAACCATGCGATTACATTAGAAATCTAACCAATAGCATATATATTTTGAAATATTAATGTCGTTAAATGAGTGTGTACCTGGTTTAACTCTTTACACTTTACACTTGCCTGATAGCGCTTAGAGACTTTTTGTATTTTGCGCTCTATAAATTAATAACCATTAACCCGGTCACCTAGGCCATACGAAATATACGTTATTAAACGATAAATATTTTATAGACTAGTTATTTGCTTGTATATTATGTAACAAAATCATGTTACTAGCGATTACATTAGAAATCTAACCACAACAATAGATTATAGCATATATATTTTGAAATAATAATTTTAAGGAAGGGCTCAGAGACAGATAAAATCGGAAAAAATATATACATTTAAGTTCAAACGGTTGGTCAAAATGGTATAGGCCTAATATACTGTACGTTGGTATAGTATGACGTCATTTCTATTCAATTTTCAGTAGCGGAATGAAAATTGTTTGCACTTTATAATTGACTATAAACACGTCTAATTTCAAATAGGACTTGGTAGTCAACCAAGACAGTGTAAAAATTAATATATTATAATTGAGACGTAATAATATACAGAATTTAGCTAATCACACGTACAGCATGACCTTTGGAAGTATCATATACTAATTTGAGTTCGGAAAATGTGCTTGTGCCGATTTAACGTCCTGACGCGTGCACAGCTCTGGGAGAAATATATCGTAGCACCTTTCTTTCAAATGTCTTACCATTATTGGAAAATTGTTAGGCTTGCAAATTGTTGGCTTGCTTGTTTGTTCTGTGCATTGTTTTGCCTGTTCTTGACTAATTTCTGAATATTTTTTCTTACTAATATTATTACTACTGAAGTTTAAAATAGTCTGGGAGCCTAATTATTGGCCTTGGCCTCCTTGGATCCCGGCACTTGCTTGTAGGCCTACTAGTGTAGTAGTTAAGTGAATAAAGTGTCTAAAGTCTAAAGTTATGAAAGTTAAGTTCCAAGGAAATTATAAAGATGTGAATTGATAAAACAAATTGGAGACATTATTTGTTTTAAAAGAAGGAAATGAAAATTAAGAACGAGAACCGAGATCGATGTTCATGCATTGGTATAGGCCTATATGTGAATGTTTGTTTTTTAAATGATTTGAATAAAAAAATATATTGACAAATTGTTATATTTTTCATGGGGTTTCGCTCCGGTGGACACTTTCGAGAAATTTTCAGCGACGATCATAGTCAGTGTATAGAATATAATCAGTTTTGGTAAAATTAATGTTTATAATATATATGCTTGCTATATAAATCTAGGCCTACTACTTTTATTCATATTGCATATGAAAGAAGTGTTTGTGAAATATCAACGTTAAAACAATACATAGAATTTTCTTAATACCGTGTCCGAGCATTTTTAAACGTTCATATTCTTCAGAATCAGTAGTACTATTAGTATGTATGCTAGCCTATCTTTACACTACTACAACTTAAATAACCGACCAGATTCAGCGCTGCTTTTTATACTTTCAAAGGGTATAGCGCTACTGCTGAATAACGCCAAAAACATGTGTTTTTTGCTCAGCAGAAACAGATCCAAAGACCTGTACGTAAACAGTGTCTAGGGCATAGGGATATTATACAATACCGTAGTCCATTAATTTTCACTCTACACTCGACTACACTCAACCGAATACCAGAGATTTTTGCCTACCCTAACCGTACTATACGCCGTAATAATAATAATAATAATAATAATAATAATAATAATAATAATAATTATAATAATAAATAATAACAATAGTAATAATAATAATAACAATAATAACAATAACAATAATAATAATAAATAATAATAATAAAAAATAACAATAATAATAACAATAACAACAACAACAACGACAACGACGACGACGACAGCAACAGCAGCATCGACAGCGGTAGCGGCAACGGCATCATCATCATCATCATCATCATCATCATCATCATCATCGTCGTCGTCATTATTATTATTATTACTATTAGTAGTAGTACCGGTACTGTATTATTAAAAAAATTACAAAAGGATAAAAACCAAACTGAACCATACAGTACCACATTTCTATATAAGACCTGGCCTGAGATTTATGGATTTAAGATTTTTTTTAATCACGCTTAGGCCTATGAGTTCTATTAGGCCTACATGTATAACGTATGCTGATGCATTTTTATGTTTTAGAAGTATTCATTTTGAGTGATCCCATGAAAGAATTTGTATCGGCTCAAGCACAAGCTTTAAAATTTTAACACAGTGTACAAAGGGGAGGGGAGGGGGAGCCGCGGCTCCCACGGCTCCGCCTGGATACGTCCCTGGTCCACATAAGCCAAAATTGGTCCCAGGGGTGGCGCCAGCAGTGGGGGCAGGGTCTCCTTCAGGGAGAGCTGGCCCTCGTCGGGGGAAAAGCACTATTCGTCGGGGAGAAAAAAATTATGTATTTTCTACATGTTAGTATACCCAAAATCGATTAAATAAGCCTTTTAAAACCCCTAAATTGTCATAATTTTCGGGGCTTTGCCCCGATGGAACACTTTCGAGAGAATTTTTGAGCGACGCCTGACCACGCCCAATGTTTTCGTCGGGGAAATCCCTCCCCCGTCAGGACCTCCGACCCCCCGTCAGGCAAATCTTGGCTCCACCACTGATTGGTTCGGCGTATAATAATTAATTATTATAGTTAGGCCTATAAACCTGTATTTTTCTAGTGTTCATATTTGTTTTTTAATTAAATGATAGATAAATATCTCATCTCTTATTATATAATATGTTTTCATTTGTTATGTAAGTATACAGTCACCAAAATTAAATCAAAATGTATATGATGTTATTTTCGCTTCGCGCCCAGTAAACCTATACTCGTTGGTGTAAAAGTTAGAAAATAAGTTAAACGATATGGTCTTAAATTGTATTGGTCCGTTAGTTTACTTGTTTTACCTTGTTTTGTTTCTTGTGTAGGCCTACTTTCTTAACTCCACGAAATACAAGCATTCATTTCCAAGAGATAACCCCTTCATGTTTATGTAACAGAACGTATTATTGTATGATCTAATACCGTACCCCACACAACTGGAATATTTAAAACTAATAAATCAGTTTTGCATTTCATTTTAGGCCCAAACCAGGCCGAAGCACGGCCGTATAAAAATAAAATGATTTATGCTGTGTACGGTCGCCAGGCCTAGGAAATGTATTATCAGGTGGGTTTGATAAACGTCCACAAAAGCTTAATACGAATCATTCTGTCACTACAAAAAAAAAATGTGCAAGTGTGGGAGAAGCATATTACTTCCCTCGCTCCACAGGAGAAGCAACGGGCAGCAGATGAGTATAAAGCGGCCAGGCCGACGGAGAGCGGCTTTATCCAAGGGGACCGGGTTGAGCGGCTAAAATTTCACGACCCGGTGGACCGATTTTAGTGATCAAAAATCAGTCAGGCAGACCAATTATCATCATTTCTCTACTTGACACTTACAAGAATTAAGTTTTATAGAAATGTATATTTCCATTGAGCCTGTCCTTGGATAGTATGGAACCTTGTAACAGCGTAAACGCACGTAAACTTGTTTATAACTATTAAATTTTGAATAACAAGGTCTAATAGGTCAGTTGTAAACTTTGACTTTGACACTCTGGAAAGGCCAACTGCTCTGCATGCCTTGCCATTAATCTAACGGACTAATTTATGTTTTAAACAAATTAAATATCCATATCTATTCACTAAAGTTTTGCAGATGGTCTATGTTCAGGTAGCACTGGAGAAAAAAATCCTGAAACGCACAATCTCGAAAATAAAACGAAACTTAACTGATTACTGTATGGCATAATAAGAAATATTCTTATTTCACATCTACCAGACTCTAAACCTAAATAATTGCAAAGTAATGTAGTTTATAGATTTAAATGCCCAGGATGATAATAAAGAGTACATTGGTAAAACAGAAAGATGTCGCCTCACAAGAATCAACGTTGCAAAGGAGAAGATTGTTATAAGAACAATTTGTTACATGAACAATTATCTAACTGTTTTTAAACAACATTATAATTGGTATTTCTAAACTTCCTAATATATATGAGTTTGAATCATGTCAACATGAATTATGTGATTCTGATCCGCTATAGACTTAAAGAAGCTTATGCTATACAAAACAAGCCATGCTTAAATAGTGGCTTAAAAACATCCAAGAGTTTAATTTGTTTCTCTAGTTAGGTTTATTGATTATTTATTTTATTTCCTGGACTTTAAACCTGTTTCACACACTGATAACTTACTCTAATCATAGAGAAAATAGAAGCTCTATTCTACATTTGTTAGTCAATTGTCTCGGGTTTATTCCCAAAATACTTTCTCCCCATGAAACCACTTTACTCTAACTGGCCTTAAAAAATAATAGCATACTATTTATGATTTCTGGTAACTTGTACTAATCCCTAATGATGACATAATTAATGTCGAAATATTGAATCCCGACTTGGAGTAGGCCTATACCATCTTATCTAAGATTAATCATTGGACCTTTTGGTTTGTACTGTATATAATTTTGTCTCTTTGTATTATATGTATTATTCCTGATGATGCCTAAATAAAAGCGAAACGCTGAATTAAATGGACTTGTCAATTTTTGGAGTGACATATTCATAATATTTGTACTTAAACTCAGTGCACACCTTATTGGTTAAATATCTATCAAATGAAGCATTTTGTAGTCGGACAAGGCTTAGTCATGCCCGGAAGTTCTCCAGATTAATAGATAATCTCAACATAATAGCATAGATTTCACAGAACAGCGTAGTCACACCTCTTATTACAGTTACGTCGACACACAGTTATAAACAAGATGGGCTTCTACGAAATGATACTGTCTTTATTAAATATTCAAACAATAGCATTGGTCTTCATTTTACTCTTATTATTATTACGGCTTCTGAGGTCTAATAAGTTACCACCTGGTCCCCGTGGCTGGCCGATCGTCGGTTCTATTCCGCACATTGAGAAGGAGGCTTATATAACGTTCAACCATTGGGCTAAAGAATATGGCGACATATTTACAGTGAAGTTAGGCTGGACTACAGCTGTAATTTTGAATAGCTTCGACGCTATAAAATGTACCCTGAAAGACCAAAGTGATAAGTTTGCAGACAGACCTTTTACACCCATCGTAGAATTAGGCTTCACGATATCAGGTAAGTACAGTCTGTCGGCTTAAGCTGCATTCACACCGAAGCCGAATTCGGTTCGTATGGCTAACGAAACGAAAAAAGAATATCGAATCAGTGGTAAAGAATAGAGGCGCGTACTAAGACGCGCATCTCTTCTACGAACCGAATTCGGATTCGGTGTGAACCTACCTTTATTCTGAAGTAGACTAGCCATAACGGTACGCTTGACCTGCATTTTACAGTATTTATTTAATTTATTTTTTTAAATTTATTTATTTATTTATTTTTAAATATTTTTGTTTGTGCTTTGTTGCTGTATGACAGTAAATTAGTCATTTCAATAGTCATTTGGCCCACATCGGAGTTTCTATTACAATTTTCCTAAAATGTGACAAACCGAGCAATTAATTATTTTCAAATCTAATAATAATAAAAGGGTTGATAATATATAAGTAACGTAGCATAACTTTTAGTTTTGATATAGTTCTACTGTAATAGACTATCATTATTTTCACCTTCAATTTTTCTAAACATTTTTTTCTTAATTTAAGTAAAATCTGATGTCAATTTGCAGGAAGTATTGTATTTGACAATGGTCATGTTTGGAGTGAAAGACGACGTTGGGCCTCTGGAACTCTACGCAACTTCGGTCTTGGGAAGAAAAGCTTGGAAAGCCGGATAAACATTGAAGCGGATTATTTATGTCAGGAAATCGACAAGACCTTAAATCCATTCAACCCATTTCACTGTGTAAATAACGCAGTTTCAAATATCATTTGCTCAATCAGCTTTGGAGATAGATTTGAGTACAATGATCAGACATTTAAAGAACTTTTAGCGGGAACGCGTTATTTGTTTAGACATACCACTTTCGTGGCCCCAGTAAACGCCATTCCTGCGTTATTCTACACCCCAATATACAAACACTATCGTAATATTGCAGCATCAGTCAAAGCATTCATTGAAGATAGCATACAACAACATCGAGAAACTTTCGACTCTGATGATATTCGTGACGTCATTGACGCATACATTGCAGAATCTGAGAAGGAACATACCGATCCAAACATCTTTGCGAAAGACACATTATGGCGCATCGTCTTAGATCTGTTCGCTGCTGGATCAGAGAGTACCAGTACGACTATATTGTGGATGATTTTATATTTGGTAAATTACCCAGAAGTTCAGAAAAAGGTAAAAATTTAAGCTATTATTGAAATTTACTTCATTCCGTGTAGATCACCCATAATGTCTCTTGTAAATACTTGCTATCTCTAATTATACAAATTCATCTTACTTCCATATTCCATATTCTAAATGAAAAGTTTACTAAATCAAAGATCTAAATTTTTCGCTAAGGAGTGGGTACACATTTGGACTTTTATGGCACTCTCCTTTTAACATTTTACACATGTGCACTGTCCTAAATTGAGTCTGCGATAGACAATACAAAAGCAAATGCTTTGGTAAGTAAACGGTAATAATATATAATCTTTACATGTTAGCTGTTAATTGTGTGTTTAACCTCTTACGGTATTTCATAAAGTTGCAGCAAGAGATGGACGAAGTTCTAGGTCAAGAAAAGAAACCAACTTGGGGCGATCGTCAATCGATGCCTTACCTAGAAGCTACATTACTGGAAGTACAGCGGATTTGCAACATTGCCCCGATGATCGGACGATCTACCTGCGAAGAGATTCATATAAACGGCTACAAGATCCCAGCTGGTACTACAGTATTAGCAAACCTATGGAGCGTCCACCTTGACCATAGACACTGGGAAAGGCCTTTAGATTTTGAGCCGGAGCGGTTTTTATTAGACGACAAAAAGACCATAAAGAAACAAATGATGTTTATGCCTTTTGGCATAGGTACGTATTAAAGTTTTTTATAGGCCACTCCTGAAAAAGTTTTTAAATAGGATCACTGGTACTAGTACTGGTACTTGTAGCCGTCTGATTTCAGACATTTGGCAGCCATTGACATATGTGGTGTTAAAAGACTACATATTGTGATGAGGGACCTGTGTACAAACAATTACCAAACACAAAAAGTATGGAAAACTGAATGCTATTTACACAATATTCTATTTAATGCTTATGGGTGAAACTTTCTTTGATAAATTGGCTTCTTTTAAGTTAATTTTCATCTATGACGCTTTGAAGAATAGATTTGCTTTTCTTTCCTCTTGTTCCGCTGGTTATATAGTGAAATGTGAGAATTTTATATGGATCATCATTTGGTCTTCTTATAACATGACTGATCCATTTTGATTGTTGGTCTTGATAGAAGGACCTAAGTGGTATGATGTTTGTTATTTGATATAAATTTTCGTTTGAAATCCTATACGGTATACACGCTGAAATTAATATCGACATAAAATAGGAAGTAATTGACTATGGGATAAAATGCTGTACTATTCATATAAACGTAAAACGTGTAAAGCATTTTGTTTATGCCTATAATATTTTAAAACAAATTAAATAACTTAATAGTCTTGGTGTCACAGGTAATCCCCTGTATATGCGGCTCATCAGCCCTAATCCATAGTAAATTTTCGCTATTGAATTTTGCCCCAGATCTTCAAATCAAATTGTATTTTCTAGGTCCGCGCAAGGCGCTGACCCGAGAACCTCACTGGTGTTCTTGTTCTTCTTACTAAAGACATTAAAAACGTCCAGCGTTGCTAGTATTGAACTGACGTGCAAGAAATTTTGTACACATAAACTACAACAAACGTTCATCGCCTTTTTTAAATGTTGGAAACCAAGGTTTTCCCTACACCTAAAACAACACAACAGGGGTTTCAGCAAGGATTGTACATTTCCGCCATTACCACTAATAACGCACGTCCTAGGTGGTGTGATGTGTTCTATAGAACCAAGGTCGTATTCGAACCGCGTCTTGATAATTTTTTTTTTCAATTTTAAGACATTTTTTTTTTCAGTTTTAAGACATTTTAATTTTGTACAAATCAACATTGTAAATACTATTTTTTGTAAAAGTAAAAATTCTAATTATTAAAAATTCTATCTTATTAGCTCTTCCAAAAAAAAAAAAAAAAAAAAAAAAAAAAATCATGATTTGAATTTTTATTAATTTTTGCATTGATTTGTTGCATGAATGTTCTTTCAGGTCGAAGAGCATGTATTGGCGAACTTTTGGGTAGAATGGAACTCTTCCTGTTTACCGCTAACCTCATTCAGCGGTTCACTTTCAAAATACCTGATGGCAAACCAACTCCGTCGATAAATGAGTGTGTACCTGGTTTATCCCGGTCTCCTAAGCCATACGAAATATGCGCCGTTAGACGATGACGGATCTCAGGTTTCATGCGTGAATGTGGTGTTATTAGTGGTGTTTTTAATTTAAACCAGATTTTGATTTTTGTTTTTATCACATATACGTTCAGAATATATAAGGAAAATAAAATAATAGGCCTAATATTTGTATTTATGAGTTTTAAAATGACGCAAAACTGTACGTGGGGTAGCAGTTTCTTCTTGAAATACTGGCACATAGTTATATGGTTTATGGTTTTATATTTACATAGCGCCTTCCACGATCGAAACCGTATCAAGGCGCTTGAAAAATATATGTGAATAATGTATGGAAATAAATTTGACCGGAAATAACCTAAACTAACCAAACAGAAAAACCGACAAAACAGATAAAAAATAGAATCACACATCATCACACCGTTTCATTGACCGACCAAGGCCGGTCAGCTATTGATTTCACAGGTGTCATAATGATGAGTGTAACTAAATATCTAAAATCCTACATTGACATTGGCGACCGCGACCCAAAAAGGGCCCCCAGTCTCAGAAAGCCAAAGGGCCTTCGTTACGCCACTGCCTCTACTAGGTGTCGGGGGTCCAGACAGCCGCATGTGAGCGCACAGACGTTATGCCACTTGACTTGACTTTATTCAGTATACCTTAACATCAACAATAAAATCAAATAACAAGGAGTTTCAAAAAAGTTAATACAGACTTTAAAATAAGAAAAAAGATTAACAATTAAAATTCAATAAAATCCGATGTTGAAAACTAGGTATACTAGGATAGCCCATGAAAGTTGTATGAAACGACTTATTTCCAATGGGGTCCTTGAGAAAAAAAAAATAAAATAAATAAATAAATGAATGAACTGTCTCTTATACACATCTCATGTAGTTTTCTAAAATGTAAAATCCTGCCTGAAATCACGCCACCGTATAAAATGTCAAATACCCACCTATATTTGGGGGGTATTATGAGTGCAATGGAAAAATATCTTTGTTGGTTGAAAGCTGGATGCCATCTACAAACTATGAACATATACAGTATATCATTCTGATTGCACTCATAAAAATTTATTATTTGTAATAATATTTTACATTGAAGTTTTATAACCCTTGTGTATCTTAAAGCTCTGTCGACATTATCACATTTTCTCTGACAAAACCATATTTTTATGCCCATAATATTGTCATGATGTGCCTGTATATGGTCATGATGTGATGTCATCAAGACCATATTTAGGCATTTAAAAAAATAAGAGTTGATAGTCTAGACAGAGCTTTATAGACACGAATGTAAGTAGCTTATAGCCTGGTTCTCCCGAGAGCCCTAGTATCCGGATTGGGAGCTAACCGTTAGCGCTAACCGTCAGCAACTGCGTGAGAACGCCCCGATCGGTTAGCGCTAACCGTTACGGTAGCGGTATACGGATACCGCTAACGGTTAGCAAGCTCTATCGGTTAGCAAGTTGAGCGAGATTCTATCATCAACCAATCACACGTACGCGTTTACAATTTCCAGTTTCTTATTGGCCAGTGATTCGATCATCATATTCTTGGTATCCGGATCGGGATCTTGGTCGTATGGACGCACGTCAGCTAACTGCTGACCGTTAACAACAGTGATCTAAGACGTAGGTATACATGCTACATTGGTTAAAAACACTTTAGCTTAACACCGCGCCGCTTGTCCCATTCCTCGTTGACTGATCGAGTAGGGAGAGGGGGAGTCTAGTGCTCTCCGCTTTAACATTACATTTTTTAATTTTCAGTGCATACCAATGTAAAAATATTGAAATAAAAAAATATATAATGCAGATACAAAATGTTTCAATGACCTCCGGTCCTGCCGTTTTGCCACGACTGCCAGTGCTCTCCACATATCAATTCTGATAATTTGGTGCCACACCACGTTTGAATGATTCTGAATCCGCCCCTGCATCTGACACTTGCCTAATAAACACCTATCATCTTCTCAGTTCTACTTTTGTTAACAGACAGGTCCACAGTCCTACTCTTAAATACATAACCGATTTCATTAAATTATGTTTTATATTTATTCGAATAGACTCCCCTCCCCCTCCCCAGAACTTCCTTTGGAATAAACGCCTCCCACGTATAAACGTTCGTGACGTTTTCCTCGAATACACGCCCCTAAATTACCATACACAAAACTAATGGAAGCATATCATTCTCAACACATTCTATTAATGTTTTACTCCAGTACAATTACATTGTTCAAACTTGGTTTTGATCAATAAGTTGTAATGAACATATAAGAACACATTTTGACGATAATTATATGTTGTAATTCCACATTTAGGGGCGTTTGTTTGAGTATGTAATGTACGTATCCATTTTATACCCTCGAATAAACGCCTCCCAAGAATAAACTCCCAAAATCAAAAATCCATTTCAAAAATAAATTCCCCAAAGCGTTTATTCCAGGGAACAGTTAGATTAAACTGTTGCCTGGTTTATTCGAATAAATACGTACTTAATGACAGTTTACAAGCAAGTATTTAGATGACCTTAAATGAAGAAAATCTATTAAAAAGCGTATTGTACCATTAATTGTACTGTATACCCGCCATTCTTGGGAAGAGTCAGAATTATATTAATAGCCATATAAAGAGTAAGTATACTGACGAAGTATTGGAGATGCTGGTAACAAAAACTAGATGGAATCCTACTCTAAAGGAAGATGCATTCCGTTTAACACAATAGTGGAATTTTTCTATACATACATTTTTATTAACCGTATTTATTCGAATAAACGCCCCTGAGCGTTCATTGTTATGAAGCAAAGATCGTATAATAAAAAGATAGCTTCTCCGCTAGCCTGGGTTCCAGGCCCAATTTTTGGTTACTCACTCTTTGTTGCACTTAGTGCGCGCCATAACTAATTTTTTTTTTCTTTTTTTTTTTTTCGGATTATTCCTTCTCTAAATTAACTTTCTCGTTGGTAGCGCTGTCCAGAATGAGGAAAATAATTAAAAAAAATAAGAGGCTTGTGGCAAGTCTACTTCGCGATTTCTGCGTGCAAATTCTGTAATAATGCAGTATAGGCGCCCTCTTGCAACAATTACTTTGACATCTATGATCTCCGTGAAAATGGAACGACCACTGATCTCTACTATAATTTAGTACTAATAGCTATTACTGTATAATACAGATCAGTGGGAACGACCACTATAGTAACAACCAGAGGTAATGGAACTAGAGTGTATTGCGTTATTGGAGAGTAATGTGTGACCGGAAATTGTCTGCAGTCAGTTGGTCATTGTTAGCATGCGCCAGATGTTAGTACAGCAAGATGAATATATTTATGCGTTTATTCGAGGGAGGCGTTTATTTGTTTGGGTGTAAAGTGGGTACGTATAATCATACTCGTATAAACGCCCCTTAATTTCTCTGCATATATGGAATTACAACACATAATCACCGCCAAAATGTGTTATTGCGTTATCATAAAGGCTCATTGAAAGCTTAGAAAATAATTCTACTGGAGTTGAACATTATAAATAAATTAATAAAATGTGTTGAGAATGATGTTGCTTCCAATAGATTTGTTTAGTCATTTAGCTGGGGGCGTTTATTCGAGTAAAATATATCAGAGGGTGGCGTTTATTCTAAATGAAGGTCCAGAAGGGAGTTTATTCGAGAGAGGAGGAGTTTATTCAAAGCTGAGCGTTTAGTCGAGTAAATACGGTACAGTTAAGGAATTGAAAACTTTATACATAGGCCTACATACAGGCTGTGCATTTATATAGCGCCACTACATCAAGATTCTAACATTATTATATTTTTGACTTTTCATTAACAACTAGAAAAAAAAAAAAACAATAATTAAAAGACGCAAAATTAAATCGTTCTGCAAAAATTAGCTGGTAATTAATATATTTCGTATTTAAAAGTCTGTAATAATACTATTAAATAATAATATTAATAATATTATTATTATTATTTAATATTATTATTACTATATTATTATTATTATTAAACCTATTATTATTATTATTAGACCTATTATTATTATTATTATTAATGTTCGTATTGATCTTATATTATTTCAACAAATTGTTATGATCTGGATGTTAATGTATTTTTCCTGGTTTATGTATTTTGCTCGTTTTTATGAATAGTGAATGTTATTGTTGTCTTTTTGTACTGAGCCATGTGGGAGAACAATATATATGCTACTGAACAGGTTTTTCTAGTATAAAGAATAAAGAAAAAAATATATAAATCATAATAAATATTATAAAAATAATAATTATAATAATAATAGCAATAGCCTAGTAATAGTAATATAGTAATAGTGATAGTAATAGTACTAATAGGCCTAATAGTTTTAATTAGTAATAGTAATAATAAATTTATGGTCATGATTACTTCAGATCATGACCACATATAGGCATATAATGACTAAATATGGGCATACAACAATATTACCGAGAGAGCAAAGACTAAGTTTTATTCCGGTATGTCATATTTAAATTCTTATCAGTTTAACTACTAGTATATTTGTTCACAGATCCATAGGATGTCCCCTAAACTAAAGCTCCTCCTCATTTTAGAAAATGTCCGGGTAGGCCAACTAAAAAGAAGGATAATTATTAGTATCGTCTGTTTAAATAATGTCATCGTGATCTTGGTTGCAGCTTTCGAAATTCAATGCGCCATTTTCGATACTGTGTTGTCAATTTCAAAGCGGAACCGGATGTAGGCAGGCAAGTATGTTATAAGTAAGAAAAGTAGGAGTACTGGATATATAACAAATCGATATACCGTCTAAAGCTTGTCTCGTAATACATAAAAATTCTAAAGGCATTTTAATTTATTTTTACTTTATTTATTTTTACTTATAATTTATGTTTACATTATTTACCTTAACGAATCAAGTTTCTCTCCTTTTCGTTTTAATTTTATATTTTATTATGGTAATTTATTATACAGTAATTTCTTTTTAAATTGTATTAAGTTAATTTTACGTTTCTTTGTTAAAGGGACAGTTGGTCCTTCATGGGTTATAGAGATTATTTTCTCTTTTTCCGTAACCATGTTTTTCATAAATTATGGTTGAATAAATAAAATGTATTAGTCACTTGCTAATTCTGAAAGTGATTTTGAAGTAGAATATTGAAATATAAATTATTTAATAACATTAGAATTTTGTAATACTAGAATTCTAGCTAAGACAAACTCCATTATGAAAGATACATGTCACCCACTACTATATGTCTACAACTGGCTGCCGTCTGGGAAAAGATTAAGATGCTGCAACTCTAGAACAAGTCGGTTCCTTAACCCATTCGTTCCATATTCTATTAGATTGTTTAATGATTGGTTGGCTTAACGCATTATTTTTATGTAATGTATTGTACTGTATATATAGTACTATGTACTTTTTGCCGAAATTTGTTTACATCTAACACTATATATTTATATGCTGTATATTTTATGCTGATGTTTTTATTAATTCTTGCGATGTAATTATCTAAATGTAATTTCCTTTTGGACAATAAAGTCATCTTGATCTTGATTTTATCCAGCTCATATTTTTAAAACTCTTCTTTAGCTTAAAATGTGTGACATACTAAAAAATAATTACTGATGTAATACTATATATAGGCCAGCCGTCTCGAAAAACGATGCTATACGCCATGAACGATGGCGTGCCTGGTAGATTTGGAGATCCTGGGTTGCCCATGCGTCAGAATCCCCCTCTATTTCCATCACTGGTGGGGTCCAAAGGAGTGCAAGGGTGCACTACGTTTGGCACCAGCTAGGACGCAGGAGAGGCTGAATGAATGGACCAGTACATCGGGTTAACCCCCTACTCTTCTCGAAAGATGCACTGGGTTCTTTAAAGTGCACACGAGCCAAATTTGTACACTGGGCCTACGGTTTAAAGTCCTTATCCGAGAAAACTTGTTCCACCTCCGGAACCATAGGCGAGCGTGCCGTTCGAACCAGCGCCGAATGTTATGGCTATAGGTAGCGGTGCCTCCCTTAACCGCTCGGATCGGCCATTCAACTCGCAATACTAATATTACTACTACTAACTATTACTACTACTGTACATATTATGACAATATGACGTACTATTATACCGTTATAATGATAATGTTGAGTGTTACACTTGATAGTGTCCAGGGTCATCAGCATGATGATATAAGTTAAATGAGAACTATATTTTCTTTTATTCTAGGTCATAGGCCTAAATGCTTTTGTAATAGTTTAAAAACCTATAGAAGTCTCTGATTTCATTTTTACACTCACGACACATTTGAATATTTATCACAATTTAGCATCCACGACGATGGCGCCACAGAAAAGGGATTTTATCTTAATTGTTTTCATCTACGCTGTATTACTACTTCCGAGTCAAGTTGAATGCGCCAGAGAAAAACCAAACATCGTAATCTTCTTAGCCGATGACATGGGATATGGGGATTTACAATCCTTTGGAAATCCGCTCTCACATACCCCAAACATCGATAGGATATTACAAGGTGGTCTGAAACTCACACAAGCCTATAGTGCGTCATCAATCTGCAGCCCAGCGAGGTAGGTTTAAAACTGTTTAGAATCCTATCAAAAAGCTTACGCATAATTATTCATAATATTGTCATTGTAATTAGGACGCCCTCAAGAGGCAGTTTATATTATTTTCGAAATCAACTCTACAGAAAATCTTTGTTAACATGTTTGCAGTCCGACAAGAAGGTATACGAATTTAAGTTCCTTGAGATTCATTGAGGTTTGAAATAAAAAAATATAAAAAAAAACATAGGTGAGTTCACAATCACAGCAAAAATTTATTACTAAAGGGTAACAAAAGAAAAAAACAAACAAACAAAACAAAAACAAAACCCACAAGAAACACAATACAGAACTCTGGCAAAAGTGAAGCGGATATACATTATATCTTTTACGCAGATCCTCCAGCCGTACGCGGCACACTTTTATTTCCAATAGAGTGGCAATTTACGTCAGTTTATGGTTTATCTGACCAGATCCAAACGTACGCAGCGCCTCATTTTGGGGCGACGCGTACGACTGGATATAAACATTCACGTTCTAAAGTTTACCCACAATGTAATTCGGTCATACAGTTTTTTTCTGTGCAGAGTTCTATCTTACTCGATGAACCTTTTAACAGTTTATTACAAAAATCAAATGTCCTAAAATAGTAACCATTGGTTTATTATATTACATAACGCTTTCTCGATCGATCTTAGAATGAAATTTTAAAATGTTTAAAAATAAATTGGAAATTTAGTAAATCTTTACACATGACATTATTATAATATTAGAATGTATAGACCTAATTATTAATAAACAATAAAAAAAACTAAAAAAAAACAAGTTAATTGACATAAAATGGGAGTAATAATACATTAAGCAATTGGTAATGCAAAATAAGAAATTTACAACTGCCGTCAATTTTTCACGTCAAGCCATTACTAGTAAAACTAATTTTTTGTTTTAACTGTTAAAACCACAGCATTTTGTTTAACTGCCTACTATTTCTCAATGCAAAACGGGTATATTGATGCCTGAGTGTCATCTGATCATGCTGTAGAATAATATTTTTTTTTAACCATAATAATATTTAATACATTTTAATGTGTCTACAGAGCTAGTCTCCTCACAGGGCGTTACCCTCCTCGCACCGGTGTATGGGATGAAGTAACCTCGGTATTTCTTCAGAAAAGCATTGGCGGGCTACCCCATAGTGAAATAACTATTCCAGAAATGCTGGCACCTCAAGGATACAAATCTGCTCTTGTTGGAAAATGGCATCTTGGTGTCGGACGCCAAAAGGAATTTCTTCCCTTAGAACATGGATTTGACCGGTTTTTAGGATTTCCATATTCGCATCAAAATTGCCCATGCGAAACATGTTTCTACCCTGATGGCGATTGCGATTCGGAATATTGTAAGACTGATAATGCACCGTGTCCATTGGTGTTAAATAATACCATCATAGAACAACCAGCAGACATGATAACACTTGCTGATCGGCAAGCAAAGGCCGCTAGAAGCTGGATTATTGATTACTCCTTATCGGACACCCCATTCTTTCTTCTGTACTCGTTTATGCATCCTCACTATCCACAATTTGCGGGTAAGCGGTTTAGGAATTCAACCATCGGTGGGGCATACACAGACTCTTTAGCTGAAATGGATTGGCAAGTGGGGGAGGTGATGGATCAACTCGAAAAAAGTGGCATTATTGAAAATACATTTGTGCTGTTTACTTCAGATAACGGGTAAGAATAACTTCCTCCAAATTTTAAATTATGGGCACATAGGAAAACTTATTAGATTATCACTCTTAATTGATAGGGAGGGCGGTTTTCTTTTTAATTTGAACAATAGATTATTTCGCTTCTGTTTTTATCGATGAGGGAGGGACTGTTTACATTTGGCAAGTAATAGTAAATATTGTATAAAATGTGGTTTAATTTTATAGGGGTTTTTTTTAAGAAAATGTATTTAAAGTCACACAATTGCATTATTATTTTTATGCTGTTCCTGGTCATCAAAGCGCGTCCTCACAATAGGCTCAGCATAATTTTCGCATTGTGAGAGGGTGAGAGGGCAAAAAGAACAAGACTATTCAGTCCTGCTAGCAGGGCTTGGCTGAAACTATTTCCCGGCTTTTAACCAATCAGATGGCTGGAATCTATGTAGACGTTACATAAAATATATTATTTCAATACAATTTAAAAAAACAAACATAAAATATATAACATAGTCTTGTCATTTTAGAGTTCGTGCACCCATGTCTACAATAAACATTTATTTTAAAAGTAAATAGTAAGCCTAGTAGTAAACTTTCAATTGTTAACTCTATTCATAAAACTCATCAATTCTTCATGTCAATGCCAAACATTTACTGCTTTAGTAAATTTTTAAAAAGAACTAACTAATAAATCAGTTTCTCTGAAATTTATCTTTTCATTATTTTATAATTAATATCTGCAATATACATAATGCTCATGACTGTGTAGTTTCTTTGTATATAAGTTCCGAATAGTAAATTATTCTCTTAATTTTGCAATTTTTAATATGAAGGCCAGACGTGAAACTTGAGGGCGGGTTTTCAGGGATCTTCAGATGTGGAAAAACTTCGACCTTTGAAGGTGGATTTCGTGTTCCTACGATTGCTTATTGGCCAGGGCACATCCCAACGGGTGTCTCAACGCAACTTGTTAGTCATCTTGACATCTGGCCGACACTTAGACGTTTAAGTGGTTCCTCTCCAGATGAATTTGACGTCACCCTCGATGGATTTGACATTTCGGAAGTACTTTTTAGCAACGGAAACGTAGGTATTTTGATTGCAAGTGATGATGTATCGTCATTGGTGATAGTGGGGTACGAGAGTTAAGCTTAACATATTTAATTATATACACCAACGTTACATATTTTAAGTATGACATGACACCAATTTTTCCCAACGTCTATTAGAGAATTGTAATATTAATAATACGGTAACTCATTAAACTAGTGGAGAATTTCCGGCGTTTCAATCAAACCAAAGAGTATAAATAGAACAAGAGAGCAAAGTCCCGTTCGTAAAAACGTCACGCCTGTGTAGGACGCCCACTAACGGTTGTATATTCTTTTTATTACCCAGTGCAGCGCTGCGCAGCG